CGCAGCAGGCAGCAGGTGTGTGTGAGCAGAGACACACGGCCACACACCTCACGGCTCTCGTGTATCCTCTCGCTCCCTCGCCCGCGCTTGTCAAGTTTGTCCCAGACGGAGTTACATCACACAAAAGTTAGGAGGAAGATCAGGCTAAGACTCCACTCCCGCCTGCACGGATGAGTCGAGGCCCTCGACGAACCGGCGGATCTCGGCGAGGAGCTCCGACTTGACGTCGTCCGGCACGGTTTCTGCGGCGGAACGGGGGAGTCGCGGTCATCCTGTGACCCTCCAACTGCCGGGGCAGCCTTCTATCTGCGCACCTCTTCCTTGCGGCGTGATCTCATGCGTAAGCTGCTCGACGGTAAATGGTGTATCGCCGCCCTTCTTCTTGATCAGGTCTGTTGGACGAGGGCCGGCCGCTCGGGCACCGAGCCGGCGGGTGGTGGGATGGGGTGGGGTCGGCCACACCCATCGTGTATTGCTTGAGGCTGTCGCGCCACTGCGACTCGACCAGCCGTTGCCGCAGCAGCTCCTTGAGCCTGGGGCGCCGACGCGCGCTCAGAGCGGGGCTGGGCGCCAGGTGGCAGCGCCGAGGGCTCTGCCGCACCGGTCGTACTCGCCCGTCTCGACGAGCTTATTGTGGATCGCATCCTTCAGCTTCTTGTCCTGCGCCATTGGGCGAGCCGTTCGGAGGAGAAATCGAGCACCAGATCCAGCAAGTTCCCGAAGGAAAGTCGGAAGGAGAACTCATTTGGCGAACTCATTTGGCGAAAAGCGAGGAAAAAGAAAACTAGCAAGAGAAGAACTCGAGGACCTGCTGTACAGCACCGAGACTACCTGTCGCGTTCCCGGCGGTGGGGAGAGATGACTGAGCCCCTGCTCGCGTCTTCGGTGGTGGGCGGCGACCCGGTCGCGCCTCCGCTCGAACCGCTCGCGGCCGAAGGCGAGGCTGCTGGCGCAGCCGTTGCGCCCGCGCCGGCGGCGGCCGAGGCGACTGCTGATGCCCCTCCAGCCTATTCCTTCAAGGCCTTCGCGATGGAGCTCGGTCTCGGGCGGTTCGTCGCGGCCCTCGAGGCCGCCGACCTCCTCGGCAACTACGTCGACACCTGCGAGTCGCCGCTCA